TCTCGTTTCAGGGAGTGCTAAGGAATCACCAGATAACAATGATTTTTCTTGGCATCGTAGGCAAACTTTTTTTTCTTTCCAGACACCTGTGAATAATTGCTTTGAAACAAATACCATTTAATTGGATCAAGTAATAATTATTTAATAGAAATAAATATTTACTTGAATTTATATTATTAAATTATATAATTTGTATCGTGTAGTAATAATACGATTTAATAAATATTTATTTGTTTCATGTAAATATTTATTTGGCCCAATTAAATATTCATTTGATTCAAGTAAATATTTAATTGAGTGAAATAAATTTTGTTTTCATTGTACGGTATTATAAATTCAATATTAATGAATTAATCATTATTAAAAGTGCCTTGTTCTTATGTACATATATAGAAAAATGACTTGGCGATATAAACGTGTTGCTTTCTTTTAATTTTTTATATGAATCATAAAATTTATGTTATACAATATGCGACTTACGTTTCATTGCTGATGACATCTTTCAAGAGAAATTCTTGGTGTGCTTTTAAAAAGGAAAATATACTAATTATTCTAAGAGCCAATAATTAAAGTGCAAGTCCGTAACTTTTGCAATGTATTCGCGAATCGTGCATAAAATACGAGAATGTATTATTTTAATCAAGAGATTATTGCAGGTCGCGTTTCTCTCATAGTGACGTAATTCTCAGTTGGATAGGGTCCGCGCATCAACAATACGGTTTTCTCTTATAAACTGTATATAAAGATATGTGAAGAAATTCAAATTTTTTTTTTTAATTTCATTTGAAAAATTTATTTATAAAAATAAAAAAATATAAAAACTAAGGTTTTTGAAATAAATAAATAAAATCTAATCTAATCATATAAATAAATAAATTAGTAAATAAATTTTTAATAAAAAATAAAACAATAACATATAATAATTGATTATAAAGTTTAAATAATATTTATTTGATTTACGTATTTAATATATTTTAATAGAAATAATAAAAACAAATTAATTATGGATTCTTTATTGAAAACAATTACATATATGCATGCGTTATATTCGTGAAAATATGAAATATTTGTGCAGTAAGAAATTATTAATTATATTTTATATTAATAATTTGTATAAATTTTAACGCTTAATTATTCTTGGTTAATATTTTGTTGAATTTTACTCTCTCTCTATACAAGAGAAAAAAAATACATTTGTCATAGTTAAATGAATAATTAATTAAAGTTTAATTAGAGTTAAATTAGTTAAATTTTACTAATTGTTAGTAAAATTTTACTAATTCAGAAGCAAAAAGTGAGTCACTAATTCAAATTAGTAAACAATTTTTACTAATTCAGATTTAGAAAGTAAATAAATGTTTATAATAAATAATTATTTATTTTGAGATAAATTTATTTACGCTCTGAGACATATATAATTCGAATAAATTATATTTGAATAAAAAATAATTTAACATAATTTTTTTTCTAAAATTTTATAGACAGAAAACATTAATTTTTTTCAAGATTTATGAATTTAAAAAAAACTACTCATTTTTCATATTTAGAAAAAATTTGATATATTTTTGCCCTTATAATTATCATTAATATTGTTTATTACATTTTTTGTTTTTCTTTTTCTTACACATAAATTGATGCTTAAAGCTATTTCAAAGAATATTGTACGGTAAAAAGTGGACTCAATTTAGAGGGGACCTTCGTATATTTCTTTCTTTTATCTGTCTTTTCGCATACTTAACCTTCTTTTCACTGATATGTGCCTTTTTCACATTTCTTGAAAAATTTTTGATTGCTTATGAATAAAAGAAATAGAAAAGACCAAAAATTTCTCAAAAAATTGAAACTAAATTCTATTTGATGTATTTTACTTTATATTTTTTTTTGTAAAATTTTCCTATGTTGAAAAAATGCAAAGAAATGAAATTAATACACACACACCCAGAGAAATGTTTTATTTAAGTCAAATACAATATATATTTGAATTAAATAAACATATATTTGTCTCAGCCGATTTATTTAATAAAATAATAGTTTTTAATAATATTTATTTGTTATAAATAAATTTTGTTTGATTTAAATAAAAATTCCTGAGGCAAATATATCTTTTCTTTGGGTGCAATAATTATATTTCTAATTTTTCTTTCTACACATGAATTTTTCGAAATGAATTTTTTGAAATGAATTTCTTTTTTTATTTATGCTATTTTTAATTTATATACTTTTGAATTAATCTTGTAACTTTGGAAAAGTGTATTTTTTTTTAAAGTTGTTCTTGGCAGTACATCAACATATCACTTCAATAAATGAATTCACGTATAGGTGACTTAAAAAGAGGTCAGAGGGATTAAATTTAAAGATTCTTCTACTTTTCATACTTTTTTTCATACAGAAAACAAAAAATAAACATTAAAATAGACTTGAAATAACACAGAAAATTAAAAGGCTTTAAAATAAGCTGCAACGCTTATTATTTTAATCCAATTTTGCTTATTTTAATCCATTTTGGTATGAAAATAAGCAAAATTGGATTAAAATAATAAGCGTTGCAGCTTATTTTAATGCCTTTTAATTTTCTGTGAATATAATTGGAACATAAATTCCAAATTAATTCCAAAACATGAAATAATTGAGTGCTACTTGTAATCAACAAGCATATGAATCTATTTCATGAGAACAATAAGTATACTTAAATGCAAAATGCATTTAACATTTTCGTGACATTTTCATTTGTTTTAATATTTTAATAGAAAAGCATTGTTTTTTTTTGCTTTATTTTTTATTAGTGACGTTTTAATTAAGGTTCCATTTAATTTCTTCTTTTTTTTTCCTATGATGGCATTTTACATTCCTGCGTTGAATAAAATTTGTTTTTCATACATTTTAAAAATGAAAATAATTAAATTCGGACCAAGTTTAATTACAAGTATGCGACCTTTTGTTTGAAAAAAAAAATTTTTTTAATTTTTATTTTTTTATTCTGAAAAAAAAATTTTATTTGATTCAAATAATCGCTATTAAATATTTGAATGATTTTTGTGGAATTATTTTCTCAATTTGAAATGAAGATTTTAGACCGTTATTTGTTAATAATTATACAGGGTGTTCCAAAAGTATGGAAACTTGCAAATATCAAGATATTGGGTCCAAAATTTATCTATAGATAAATAAATTTTAAAAAATCCAATCTTGGAAGGATTTTGAGATCACAGGGTTAGAAATTGGAAGCTAATTTTCAAATTGGACATGAAGCCCAATGTAAGATTCCGCGGCCCAATGTGAGGCCCACAGTAAAAAAAATTAGTTGTCTTAAATAAAACCCATTAATTTTCAGTATCCAATTCGTAATCCCCATGAATTTCTGGGTTTAGACTTATAGTAAAAATGACAAAAATATTGGGCCCAATGTCTCGGATTAGGCCCAACATTTTTGGTTAAATAAATAAAAAAAAATCGCATCTTAGGGGTTTTTGAGGTCACAGGATTAGAAATTCGAAGCTAATTTTCAAATTGTACACAAAGCCCAATGTAAGATTCCGCGGCCCAATGTGAGGCCCACATTAAAAAAAATTAGTTGTTTAAATAAAACCCACTAATTTTCAGTATCCATTTCAGAATCGTTATGAAATTCTGGGTTTAGATTTGTAGTACAAAAGCCAAAAAATATTGGGCCCAATGTCTGGGATTGGGCTCGACATTTTTTGACAAATAAATAATGTGAGGCCTACAGTAAAAAAATTAGTTTCCTTCCATTTCGTAATCGTTATGAAATTCTGGGCTTAGACTTGTGGTACAAATTCCAAAAATATTGGGCCCTCACATTGGGCTGCAGAATCTTACATTGGGCTCTATGCTTAATTTCTAATCCTGTGATTTCAAAATCCCTCCAAGATGCGATTTTTTAAAATTTATTTATCTGTTGATAAATTTTGAACCCAATATCTTGGATTGGGCCCAATATTTTGGGCACTTATACCACATGTCTGAACGCAGAATTTCATGGGGATTACGAATTTGATACTGAAAATTAGTTGTCTCATTTAAGAAAACCACTTTTTTATTGTAGGGCCCAATCTTTTTATTACAAAGATGAACATCTTTCTGTTTGGAAGAACTTTTGTCTTGGACATTTTTTACAAAAATTCGTACTTTTCGAGATATTTGCAAGTTTCCATACTTTTGGAACACCCTGTATAAATTTATTTATTTCGACAACAATAAATAAAAAAATTGGCTATAGCCAATTAAATATAAAGAAGTTAAAAATAGAGAAGTTATTGGTTCAAATAAATTTGATTTAATTCAAAATTATAAAAATTATTTGGTTCAAGTAAATATTTATATATTTGAATCAAATTTTTTTTGCAGTGTACTTGAAAATTTTTTTTTTCCAATTATCAACTTTTGAAAATTTAAATTTAGAAGTCAAAGGGAGATGGGGGGGGGGGAATTGTCATCTTTTCTAAAACTCGCCAAACTTGGAAAATTGCGCTTGCATTCAGGAAGAGCAAGTTTGGCTGCTGTTGATTGTGCAAACAAAGTTTGAACTTTATAACGATGGTTACAAGAGTTGTTTTATGACAAAACCTCAATTTCTGTCAACTCTCGCTAACTCAATAATTCTTTGAATAAAACGTTTTTAAAAAGCCCAAAAGAAAAAAAAAACGAAATAGAAAACAAACTATTTATCAGTTTTTCTAATTTTCTTTAAATTTCGAGAAGACGTTGAATAACGGGAATAAACGAAAAAGACGTGTATATGTGTGTATTCGGTTAGAAGATAGTGTCTTGTCGATCGAAGCGTTCCAAGGAGCTTGAAAAGAGAATGTGTGTAAAAAATCGTAGAGGTATTCTCTCCCTCTCTCTCTCTTTGTATGTATATATATATATATTCTCCACCAACCCTCCTCTTCGTTTGTCATCCCCTCTTCTAAAAGCTCGATCTGAGCTTTTTTTTGAGAAGCGCAAGCGCAATCCAAAGATCGCATTTACGTTCCCGAGCAGTAATTCGTGGGGTGCGAATCAGAGTGGTTGTTGTCATCTAGCGGACTTCGAAGTTTCCAGTCAACCCTCTTTCTCCAATCATTGAAGGTACATAACCTCCCCGATTGCACGCTATCCTGATTAGAAATTTAGTTTTCCTGTATCAATTTTTTTTATGATAAAAAAAAATTATTTCCAATTAAATTTTAATTTTTCTTATAAAATTATTTTTGTAGATTTGAAAATTAAAAGGACAATATTTACGAACGTAAATATCACGTGGTCTTTCAAAATAGTATACAAACTTTATTTCTTTCTGTGTATATTGGAAAAATAAGTTTTATTTTTCTTTTTTATAAAAGTTCTTTCTATAAGAAGTCAATTTATAATTTAAGGAAAAATTCTTTTTTAAACTCTCTGTTATTTTTATATAATGCAAAAAGTATAAATAACAATATACTTCTTTTCTGCTTGATAGTGAAATGTGCTTGCAAGAGAGATATTTATATAACCACTATTTATTGATTTACCAATTTAACAATATATGGAATTCCAAAAAAAGTTGCTTGAAAATTTTACTGCAATCTGTATAATAGAAATAGGTTTTTACTTCTCTGTAAAAAAAATGTTTCGTATAAATTTTCTTCAAAGTTTTTTTTAAAATTTTATTTTCAAATTTTGTTTCTAAATTTATTTTTTGAATTTTGTTTTAAATTTTGTTTATTAATATTCTCTTAAAATTTTTTTATTCCTATTAGTAAAATTGTTCTCTATCTTAATCTTCTTTTTGTCCTTAATAAATCCTTCAATGAGAACCAATAGAAAATGTATTACAGCGGAAGTGACAACAAAGCGTAGCCCACTATAATACCTTTTTAATATTTCTTCAACGATTTATGGATTTAGGTTCAAAATTAGCATACAGGAATCTGAAGAATCCGTTTTTTATCTCTATTTATTGTTTTCCAAATTTTTTGATGCTTGCTAATGGAATATTAAAGTGTGCAGAATTTTTTTCTCTCCCAATAATAAATGAAAAATTGACTCAGAAAATTTACAAAATTAAAATAATTTATGTATCGCTAAATAAATAAATAAATAAATTATTAAATGAATAAATAAATGAAAAAATAAATAATTAAATGAATAAGTGAATAAATCAATAAATAATTAAGTAAATTAATAGATAAATGAATAAATAAATATATAAAATAACAGAAAAGTGTTCTTTAAATGTTCATAAATTTTTTTTTTTACAAAATTTAAACTTTAAAAAAAGTGAGTGAAGAATTCCAAATAGCGTGAGTGCAAGAGAATCAAGATAGGAATTTTTTTTAATTTTAGAATTAGATCTCACGGAAAAGCTATGGTCATTTTTCATTTAGTGGTTTACTTGCACCCGAAGGATTAATTACTTATTTTAAATACGTTCTTTCTTTCAATTCATTAGTCGAGTATATATACTACTTTATGCATAATTCATTAAAAAGATCTTATTATATTCAAGTATACTTTTTTCATGTCATAAAGACGATGAGAAATGTAAAGAAAAATGGTTTTCAATTGAATCGTTTGTTTAAGAATTTTTGCATCAAAGAAAGTAAAATAGCGCACTAATGAAATCGAACAAACATTTTTTATTTATTTATTCATGGAAAAAACAAAAAATTATAAATTGAAAAGAAAATTCCTTTTTAATAAAAAGATGAAAACAATAATAATAATAATAATAATAAAATGTAAAATTAATCATAATATCCAACTATGTTATTGGTTATTTTTATTTATTTTATTTAATAGGTTAATGTAAATTAAAAAGATTATGACATAATTTTTAACGTAATTGTTTGTGTAATGATAGTGCAAAAATTATGATTAATTTTACTATTTATATGTATATATATGTATAAAATAAAATATAAAACGGAGATAAAATGACGTAGCATATATTGTAAATTCTTTCCTGAATGCTGATAATACTGCGTTGTTTCATGATCAAGTTTCATACTATGATGTATGATTAGTTAATTATGTATGTCAAACATTTATTCTTTTAAGCACGCGACTTCCTGACAATAAATTACCATATACTGATAACACATAATTTCTTGTATGCATAAAGAGATATAATTTATTTCAACTAATATTATTATTGTTCTGATATAGAAAATAAAATCATTAAAAAAAATTTATTATTAATAAATTTAATTAATAAATTCTATGAATTTTTATCATTAATTAATTAAAATAATAATAGTAAACTGAAGCAATTTTTTAATACGATAAATTCATATTTTTATTTACACGTATCATTATAATTTAAGGAAAAAAAAATTATTAAAAAGAAAGCAATCCAATCTATGTAAAGGTTTTTCCCTCTTATAAAAATATGAAACTCTAAAATATTTTCAAAATCATTATTATGAAATCGATTTTAACTTTTCAATTTTGAAACGAAAAAGTTAAAACGAATTGGAGAAAATATTGTTGGTGTTTCACTAGCAGTAGTACAAGTTTTATCTTGAAAATGTACTTTCGTGTCTGACTAGAAACTTTTGTTTCCACTTGGGATTATAAATATACCTATAGTCTTTGCAGGAACTGACTTTTCTACTGACATTGTAGATTTCTTTATAAAAAAAGGAAGAAAAAAGATTTCCACATGAACAATAAACGAGTGCGCACATTTATGGGTCAATAGATAATTTTTATTTTTAAATTTTATCATCTATAGCAATTTCTGAATTACATTTTTGGTCGTGAAATTATCGTAACTTACATTTATTTTAATATAATTAATAATAATAAATAAAATTAAAAAATAAATAAAAAATAATAATAATAAAATAATTATTAAAATGTATAAATGAAATGACATATAGAGAAATCGAGATTAATTTTTTATACTTGGTAGTATATAAAATTAATCTCGGTTATTCTCGTAAATACAGCATTAAATTCAACATAACTTAATAAAAAAAAAAGGAAAAAAAGTTTCTTACTTTTCTCTTTTATAGTCGCGTGTATTATAAAACAAGATTCATTAGTAATGAAAAACTAACCTGAGGAAGCCAATACATAAATAAATAATAATAAAATGAGTACCATAAAATGAAAAAGTACAACTTTGTATAAAAAGTTTATAATATACGTACAACCACTATAAAACGTATAATGTTGATATAATTTTTGTTTAGTTTTTTCCCACATGAATTGAAAGCATTGCAAAAAAGAAAAATTATAAAAAGAAATAAAATCCTAATTACTTTATATATATAGGATTTTTTAAACCTCTCTGATGACCACTTGCACACTAAATCATTAACAAAGAAAAAAACGCTCTTAACAGCCTTCATATTATAAATAATGGTTTTTGAATTTTTTATTCGGTATTTAGTTTAATATATTTTGCTGTTTTTTTTATCATCTCATTGCACTTTTTTCATCGCTATTCTTTATCTTTGCTTAACAATGGACATAAAGCTTAAGATCCACTGGATGCTGCGTATAGTACACACTCTATGGTTTAAAGCACTCGCCCTTAACGGTCGACGATTTTACCCAATGGAACTGGGTCGGTTAAAGGTCACTGTTCCAATTTTATGTATATAAACTTTCCAATAGGGCTTTATCACAATTTACCAGTAATTATCGTTAATTACTAAATAAACATTATGCAAAGGCTATTAGTCAGAACAATAATAATCATTTACTTAATATATATACATATTATAAAAGGTTTCATTTTTCAAAATATAATTAAACTGAAAAAAAATTTAATTGAATCAAATAATTTTTTTTACTATTATCAAATAAATATTTACTTGAACTAAATAATTCTTATTTAAACCAATAATTTCTGTATTTAAAACAAATACAATTTAATTTGACTCAATTAAAAATTATTTGGTTTAAGTAAATATTTATTTTATATTAATCAAGTAACCGATATTATTTGAATCAATTAAATTTTTTTTCAGTGTATAAAAATATTTATATTGAAATTAAATATATAATTATTTTCAATGAACAATATTAATTATTCTGTATTTTTATTTTAAATATAGAAAAAAATGTGTTATCGGTAAATTTGATAATTTACATGTTTGAAGAATTGTTGAACGAATGATAAATTTAAAAAGCTTATACCAACCCCGGAAAAGCACTTGAGAAATAAATTACCTCGTATTTTTCTTTGATTAGAATCATAAATTTGAGAATTGTGCGGGGAAAGCGTGAAAAATGGAATTGGGGTTAAAATATTCTGCCCTTATGTACTTTCAACTATAAAGAAAGATACTTTTTCATCAATTTTTGAGCCATTAGATTATTATTTTCAATGGATATAAATTTCGAAAATTTTGATAAACGACTTTTTTATGCGCTTTGAGGTTATTTTTTCCCTTTTTATAAAAATATCGTTATCGTTAAAAATTTTATTTATTTACATATAAACGGGCTTACAAAAAAGAAAAATTTGACGTCGGTGAAGTACAATTAACGATTGCAAAAAAACAATATTTTTACTAATTTTTTGCCCAGACATTTTTTTTCCAAAAAATTGTGTATTAAAAAACGTTGTAAAAAAATTAATAATTTGTATAGAAAAATATTTTTTCTTCTAAATCGTTTATTTTACTGATGTAATTTGCCTTTTCGTACCGAAGTATACTAAAGAAATAAAATAAGAAACATAATTTTTTCTTAAAAACTAGACAATAATAAATAAATAAATAAACTTTAAAAAAATTTCTATATTTTTTACAATATAGAAAACAATTTTCTCTTTATATATTTTTAATGTAAATATTTTGGAGAGTTCTGGTTAGAGACAATTTAAAAAAAAAAAAAAATGAAAAAAAGTAACATAATCCATTTTCCAATTTGCATATCTTCGTGAATACCCACTTATTTGACATGACTGTAGCAGTAAAATTCCCATTCGTTCTGATGTTTCCCCCTCCACTTCTTTTTTTTTTTTTTTTGCGAACTATGTCAGGTGATTTACAGTATCGATTTTGACAAGGGTGAATGAGAATAATAACATGCTTTTAAAAAAGATAGGATTCTCAATCCAATTCCCCTCTTCGATTTCTAAGGTAATTTTT